GCTTACCATTCCCTCACAGTTTTGTTTCTGGGAACTCACGAGCAACTTCCCAGTGGGTCACCCATCCTGGGAGTGCTCTAGCCCCCTTCTCGCTTAACTTCGGAGTTCCTACGGAACCCGAAGCCAGTGAGCTCCCAAAAGGCCTCGTGCTAGGTAGGGATGGGAATATACATATAAGGATCACTCCCCTGGGCGATGTGGGATGTCACAGATACGCCCTGTAATACCCTGAAAATTTAAAATATATGATTATGTGGAGTAAATCGAGAATAAATTTATGGTTATAAAAATTTGATTAGAGAAATTTTAGAATTTTGTTTCCGGAATTTATTATAACTTACGTCGAAAAATTTATCGATAAGTGGAAAAGACGAAAATACCCTAGTTGACTAAACGTAATTTGACGAGGACATATTTTATCCTCATGTATTTTATTGTATTTCTTGACGTATTTGGATAGAGCTTGATCCTATGAAAGCATAGGCGAAAACCATTTGTGAATCAGAATTGAAACGAAGAAATTAGAGGTTTTAGAAAAAAAAATATTAAAAAAAAAGAAGAAGAAGAAGAGGAAGATAAGTCTGGAAGCTACTAGATGATAGCATGAGAGAGGAGGAAAATGAGAGATGCGGGAGAGAAGAAGGGGGAAGGGTAACCAATCTAGAAAAAATGTGGGGGGGGGGGGGTGGGGGGAAGGGAGGACCAATGGGAAGAAAAGGAAATGAGGGAAATGAGGAAAGGGAGAAGGTGAGAACCAGCCAACCTGGTTTCTCCACCCAACCCGTTCCTTGACCCGGTCCTATGTCATCCGTTCGATGTCCGTTGAAGGTGATTCTGGTGTCTATGGGAAGCTCAAGGTGAGCTTAACATCCCTGAGGTGTTGGATTTCTCAATTTCTTACCCAATTTTACAAATCGAAGCCACAAACCCATGGTTGTCATGGCGATTTTCTTCCTTTTCTGGTGATTCCAACAACGATTATCATTGATCCCTACCACTAATAGACTCCTTTCAACCCCAGGAGCAAGGCCCAATCATTGGATGAGGCATTGGAGTTCATTTTGGAGTCAAATCAAGAACACCTAATTCAAGGGATTCCCGCGGTTCGAGGGCGAATTGAGGTGTTTCCAGGCCGAATTGGACTTTGGCCTAGGTATGAAAGTTGTTCCTCTCATTGAACTCTATTTGTCTGTAAAATTTGGTAATTTTTGGAGTTCATCGAAAAACTGAGTTTCTGTTCGCCGGAAACTGCCACCTATGGTGGCTCGTGGCCAGTGGGCCGATGCTGCGTTTTTATGCAAATTTTGATATTCTAAATACGTATTTGGTATGCAATTGATGTGTTTCGATTCTTAAAACTAATGTTGGATATTTCTGTCATTTGGATATTATCGGAAATGGATTAAAAAGGAAATTGTGAACTACGAATGGCTTGATCGTTTCGTAGGGTACGTAGGCAGTCTAACGAGAAGTTAGATGTAGCCATAAAATAAACGAGATTAAATTTTAGTGGAAAATCGTCAATTGAGAATTGTTAGAATGGTTATTAACATAAAAGGTAACAATGACACTTTTGGCCTATCACTAAATGTAATTTCCGAATTGGCGGGGCAGGTTCTCACAAATGGTATCAGAGCGAATGATCTTACCTTACAATGTGAGATATTATTGGTGCTCATGGATGTGAATTGTGAATTGCATTGATATTGCATTATTTCATAAGTTCTTTGACTAATGGTGAATTTATGTGTAATGCCTATATTGTGAATCACTATGAAGTGAATTGAATTGAGTAGGAGTAGAAGATTTTAAAATGTCATATTTTATGTGTAACTTTAAGAATGAACGTTTGATTTAAAGTTTCGGATTAATCTTGAATTGGGTTGATTTTGTGTTATGCATTATGAAAAATTTGAATGTAAGATGATTGTGGAATTGTGACAAGTAGATGGAAAAGTCGTATTATACCTATGAAATTGAGGAATGTTGATTTGGACGAAAAGACCCGTGGATATCGATTTGGGCGTGATGCCCCGTGAAATGGGAGGAATGTTTGATTGGGCAAAATGGCACGTGGATGTTTGATTGGGCAAAGTGGCCCCGTGAATGTTGATTTAGGCGAAATGACCCGTGAAATGTGGAGAAATAATTGAATGGGCACAAAGGCCCAGTGTTTTCGGGAGAAAAGCTCCATGTGTGGGATGTGAGAATAAGTTATCAATGTGATGTGTATTGATCAAGTATATTACAATCTTTTCCAGTTGCTAGTCATGTATTGGGATAAAACAAAAAGATGATGAAATCGTTGTTTTGCCAATGATATCTATGGCTGAAAATTTTAATATTTACGAAAATCAAGATGAAATTTATCGAACGGGAAAGAAATCATAAATCGAAGTTATGAATTGTTCATTATAATTGGAATGGTGGAAAAACCATGGAGATTTCTTCATTTATTGAATTATTGGTGGACATGAATAATAGAATGAGAGTTTGAGTTCGTTTAATATAAAAGGAAATTGCAGGGTTGGTTTTAAATCCCTCATTTTTTTTATACAGTGATTGTGATTAGAAGTTCCAATGTTTTTTGTTGGAATTTCTGACATTTGGGTTGCCAATTCTGCTGGTTTGACTTGAAATTATAATATTGCTTAGCCACTAATGATTATGGCTTGAAATTCTGATATTTATTTGGCTGATGATGGCTACGATGGGAATATATGATAATTGTTTTGCTAAAAAAAAATAAAAATGAATACGGCAAAATTTTCTAACGTCTGGTATCGCCAGCGATTGTGGCCAAAAATTTTGAGGAAGGATTGAGGTAACGGTTATGTGTAGTCAATGATGGTAAGTAGTTTAACCCATGATTGTGGTTCTTATGCTTGTATTTATCTAGCTAATGGTAGATGTGGTTTGATAATCTGGTATTTACTTAGCCAATGAGGATTATGGCTTGATGTTTGGAATATTAATTTACCAATGTGTGTGGCTAGAAATTTGATACTTTTTTTTTCCACCAATTAATGTGGTTGGAAATCTGAGTGTATGAGTGAAAATTTTGATAATTGATAAATTGAATTACTTATTTTGAGCTTGAATAAAATCGTAGACTGAGGGTATGATTTTATTCACTATAAATGGAACGGTGGGATTAGTTCTAAATCCCTTTTTGTTATTCGATGGTTGGAAATCTCGAGAACAAGATTTATTATAATGGGGGTCATTGTTTTACCAATGATGAATATGGCTATGTGATTAATATTGTGACATCCCACATCACCCAGGGGAGTGATCCTTAAATGTATATTCTCATCCCTACCTTGCACGAGGCCTTTTGGGAGCTCACTGGCTTTGGGTTCCATGGGAACTCCGAAGTTAAGCGAGTAGCGCACGAGAGCAACTTCCCAGGATGGGTACGGTGGTGGAGCGGGGCCGGGAAGTGGTCCGTCCCGGGCCGGGATGTGACAATTTGGTATCAGAGCCTAACCTTGGTCGCGTGTGTGCCGACGAGGACATCGGGCCCCTAAGGAGGGTGGATTGTGACATCCCACATCGCCCAGGGGAGTGATCCTTATATGTATATTCCCATCCCTACCTAGCACGAGGCCTTTTGGGAGCTCACTGGCTTCGGGTTCCGTAGGAACTCCGAAGTTAAGCGAGAAGGGGGCTAGAGCACTCCCAGGATGGGTGACCCACTGGGAAGTTGCTCGTGAGTTCCCAGAAATAAAACCGTGAGGGAATGGTAAGCCCAAAGCGGACAATATCGTGCTACGGTGGTGGAGCGGGCCCGGGAAGTGGTCCGTCCCGGGCCGGGATGTGACAGTATCAAGATATTCCTTATTTTCTTAAATGTTGTACATTATATTTTGTTTCTCGTTTTAAGAACTAACGACATTTTATGTATTTGATTAACCAAGTAAAATTCAGAAATCGACTTATTTTTCTCACAAATAGATTGTACATTGTTCAATGTACTACATTATTCTATTTTATGAACATTTAGCCAAGCAAAAATTCTCTTTAAATAAACAAAAGTTATAGCAACACAATACATAATATATACAATAATGGCTTCTCATCTCAAAGATGTAAAGAATCAACAATGACGAATAAAAAACGTAAAGTATTGTGCGAGTACATTACAAATAACCAAGTAGCCCTAAAAAAACTATTGTAACAATGAGTTATTAATTTATATATTAAATGAGACCTACATGAATTTTTTATAATGTATTATCTTAAAAATTTAGCCATTTATTAATTTAACACGTTATCTTTAAGTTGAAACCAGTCAGACATATTACTTAACCGAGGTTATTTATCCAAGTTCTACCGTAGTTTGGAATCTCTCATCCAAAATCCAAACACACAAAGGGATGTTGCAGCATTGCAACTGAGTCTAACTGTTGATCGTGGACTAGAATTCTTTTCCCTCATCTTTACCTCCCCTTCCATCCCCTTCTCTCACATTTTTTATTTTGCCTTTCTCTTTCTATAAAAAATTAAAATAAGATGTTAACGTGACTTAACCATGATTGTTCAAATAAGAAGGAAGGGAAGGAGATGAAAAAAAAAAAAAAAGGAGAGAATCTTGCTCCGTTGACCATAACTTGCTTATGGATCAAACAGTACTGAATCTTGTAGTTCACACAGAGAATCCTGACCCAAGTTGTCTTCTTTTGGCCAGGCGGTCGACAAAGTTGTCAAAAATTTAGGACCCGGCTTCTCTGCCCTCCCAGTTTCCATACACTCTCATCCCCTCCTATTTTGTACGATCACGGTTAAGTCACGTCAACATTTTATATTTAATTTTTTATAAAGATAATAAGACAAAAAATAGTGATATAAAATGTTGACATGATTTAATCATGATCGTACAAATAGAAAAGAATAAGAATGTATAAGAACTGAGAGGGCAGAGAAACCAGGTTCAAAAATTTAAGCAGATCTCAGTTAAAGTTATCACTTCACTTGATAGTCGCGCTGGGACTGATGGCTCATGCAATTCCAGCCGTCCTTTTTTCGTGTGAAAAATCAACACGAACGTGTACATTGTGAGGACCAAGTCTCTCTTCACTATTCCCACCCCACAACATTCACCTGTCCCAACTCTTCAATCGTCAATTCTTCACCCAACAACACAAACTACTTCTGTCACAACTTATTAATTTCCCACAAATCTTTGCCTCCGACCCTCCAAGTTTCTCTGGAGTTTGGAGTTCTTAAATTTCAGAAACCTCACTTTCAGATTACTCTTTTTTCCACTTTCTGGAAATTTGACTTGTTTGTAATCATAAATTTGTTCGAATTCGAAAACCCATTTGTTGTTTTAGATTGGTTTTGTGTTTCTTCAATTGGGTAGTTCCTGGGAAACATGGCTATGCATGTTAGCAGTGCATGTTTTTCTGCTTTGAGTGAGAGGAGAGTTCCTAGGGTTAGAGCTGTTGCTTCTGAGAATGTGACCACAGAGGATGATAAGGTGCAATTGGGTGGCTCTGATTTGAAGGTGACAAGGCTTGGGATTGGAGCTTGGTCATGGGGTGACACCAGTTATTGGAATAACTTCCAATGGGATGGTAAGTTGCTGAAATTCCACTTAAACATTACTGAAATTATTAAATAACTGAAAATTCGTTTTCAAATTGGTGCTTTATCATGTTACTAGATATTATTAATTCTTATTAAAATATATTTTGAAAAATAGTGAACGTAACCAGCCACCGTCTTTGTTTTTTTTGTTTTTTATTTTTTGAAATCTCAACGGTGGAACAGTAATTTGGGTATTATAAAAGCTTCACGTTTTTCGTATTTCTTTATATTTATTCTTTATATATATAATTGTGGCTGTACTAGTTGCAGATGAGTTTTGCTGAAATTTTGTGCCTTTATTGTCTTTGTACATTAACTTTTAGCATCCCAGAAGTGGGTGTACGGTGTAACCATGTAGGCTAGTGTGGATGTGTTCCCTCTATGCATACGAGTTTAGATTAGTTTAAAGTAAAATATCGTTTGAATCAAAAGAAAAACTTTTAGCATATGAATGAGTGTCTTTAATTTAGCTTCACTCTTTGCACCTTCAATAACAAGGTGAAGTGTGAGCCATCATGGCTTTAGATTGAACGTGAGAAGTGAGTTGTATTTGCATGGTTCATCTTTATGCTAAAGCAATGGAAATTTTTGCTGGTGGATTGATGGGGTTTTAGGTTTGGCCATAAAATCCAAATAGTTGTATGAATTATTGTATGATTTGTATCCATTAAAGCAGTTTTCTTTTTTAGATTGGTTTCAATATTTATAAGGGGAAATTAGAAATTACTCAAATGTGTTTATGATGGCAATATGCTTGGAGAAAACTGCAGACAGGAAAATGAAAGCGGCTAAAGCGGCTTTCGATGTCAGTGTTGATGGCGGAATAACCTTCTTTGATACTGCTGAAGTGTACGGCTCCAGGGTGAGAAAAGCGTCTTATAGTTCTTCTGTTCCTCTCAAATACATTTCCCTAAACTTTGTTGCAAATCCATCGTTATCTATTCTCGCAGGCTTCTTTTGGTGCTGTAAATTCTGAAACTCTACTAGGAAGGTACATTGTAGGAATCTTCCGTAGTGGATCATTCTAATTTCAAGTCAACAGAGAGTACAGATAATCACGTCGGTTTCTGTATTTTGAGAATATTAGTAGACAACTGATTCCGAATTTTGCACAGATTTATCAAGGAAAGGAAACAAAAGGATCCAGGTGTAGAAGTTGTTGTTGCGACCAAATTTGCAGCTTTGCCGTGGAGGCTGGGCCGTCAAAGTGTCCTGGCCGCCCTTAAGGATTCCCTCAATCGCCTTGAACTTTCTTCGGTAGAACTGTATCAACTCCATTGGTATGTCCCTTATGAGGCTTTGCTCTTTGTGTAAATACTTGTTTGTGCTAAGGTAACTGCAAAATCTGATCAAGTGTTTGTGTTATTTTTCAGGCCTGGAATATGGGGAAATAAAGGTTGTTCATAAGCAACTCCATTTTTTCATTAAATAAATCTGTCTATCTAATATAATTAGGAGGTTACAACCGTTACGTATAATATTTTAATTTTGTTTCTGAAGAGGCGTATTTGGAAAATTAATTCAGGGTATCTCGATGGTCTTGGAGATGCTGTTGAGCAGGGCCTTGTGAAGGCCGTTGGTGTTTCCAACTACAGCGGTAGAAATCAATATCTTTATCTATTATATTGTTGGTTAAAATTAGCAGTTCAAACCATTTCTATCATAGATGCTCTTAACCAGAACATGATGCATAACGTTCGTCATTTCAGAAAAGCGATTGCGTGAGGCACACACGAAACTTCAAAAGAGAGGTATCCCACTAGCATCAAATCAAGTGAATTACAGCCTCATATACAGGGCACCAGAGGAGAACGGAGTTAAGTCTACCTGTGATGAACTTGGGATCACTTTGATTGCCTATTCGCCTATTGCTCAAGGTGAAGTTGGAACCTTGTGTTTTCTTACCATATTCTCATCGTCACTCACCTATGTTAGCTTATGAATTAATAAAAGAATTTCTAGAAGATATAATATCTTCTTATTTTACAGTATTCAAGACCTCTCTGCGTGAACTTAATCCTTTGCTATCACCTTCCAACTATATGCTTAAATGAAACAGTGAAGCACATAACATTCTGTATATCTTGTGCATTAATGTGCTTTATGTTTTCAACATCTTGCTTGTATTTGTCTTTTTGTTGAATTGAACTGTTGTTGGATAGTTGGCGAATAGCGGTCTTGCATGGTGAAGTTTTAAGGTGAAATATCTTAGCAATAGGAGGTGTTGTCTATTTGTTGTTCTACACTTGCACTCATATTTTCACCAAACCAATAATTACCTCACAAAGAATTCCAAACATCTTTTTTGGTTAAGAAATTAGACAGTTTTTAACGATACAAAAGGGATGTAGTTATTCTAAAACAAACAAAAAAAATAGGGATTCTTGATAAAAATGTCTGTTCAGATATTATATTAGTACTTGTAATCTCTTCACAACCCCATTACAACGAATATGGCCTTTAAACGCAGATTTTACTAGATTGGTCGTCACAGCAGTCACGTTTTGTCTGTCTGATCCAGGGGTGAAAGAGATGAGAAGATTGACACTTCTACTATTTATACATATGCAGGTGCTCTTACAGGAAAATATACACCTGAAAATCCCCCAAGTGGCCCCCGAGGACAGATTTATACTCCTGAATTTCTTACAAAGGTCATAGTCAATACCTTGAATGCCGCTACACGTTAAGTTCCAATTTTTTTTGCTAAAATAATGCTGTTATCTGCAGCTCCAACCTCTGCTGAACCGGATCAAGGAAATAGGAGAAAAGTACAGTAAAACAAACACACAGGTTTGTTGCTCTTTAAATTTAACTAGCTTTTATCTTTTTCAATTAGAAGCCCTACAGTTTTCATTTCTGTGTGAAGCATGGCCGAAAAATTATCCCCAAAAGATCTGTATTTTAGTAGTTAATTCATTTTGGACCCTTGAATACGAGTGTCAAACTCTTCATAGATACCGTTGCAACTTCCGGTTCATGCTGAAAGCAGCTCTTTGTTTCACTGTTTTATATACATGTGGTCCAACTCTTGGTAGTTTCATGTTCTCCATATAAGATCATAAAACCACATTGATATATCAGGCAAGAATTCTGAAATGTAGAAATAGGTGTTGGGGTACTAAAGTGTGTAAATATAGTTTGTTCTTGTTGCTGGGATTTAATGCGAGTCGGGTTCCTGTTAACAGGTAGTCCTTAAACTGGCTGATAGCCCAGGACAACGTTGTGCCAATCCCGGGAGCCAAAAACGGAGAACAGGCTGCAGAATTTGCAGGTGCCCTTGGATGGAGGCTCAACAGTGAAGAAGTAACCGAATTGCGCGCTTTGGCTACAGAGATAAAACCTGTTACTGGTTTCCCTGTTGAAAAATTATAAATTCTTATACAAGCATCTAGGCTGTAAATTCTTCTATACAAGAAATATATATACACATCGTCACATCTAATGCAAGTTTGACATATCTAATTTAAGAGTGACTGCAGGCTGACCATTGATGTAACTAGTAATCTTAGTCATACACTGTCATTGTGGTCTTAGAACAAGTTCATAAGTGTTTGTTCAGATGGACACGGTCCGGGCGGAGAACTAACATCGAACGACAGTTCTCTGTTTTCCGTCTTCCGATCCAAGTAGTTATGACTTACAAGGAAGAAAATAATGTTGTTCAACTTAACAATAAGTTGAAACACTATCATATAAATACTTAGATAAAGACATTTGCTTGTAAATGGAAAAATAAATCCAAGATCTCAAACATATCACTTGGACGACGAGGAAAAAAAAGCATAAAGTTACAGTACGCATTAACTAGCCTTTCTCTTAGATAAAGTACGATTATCTTCCTTCTAAATTCTTCTCATCTTCAATCTATTTTTATTTGAACAATCATGATTAAATTAAATTGTCATTTTATGAACTTCTTCACAATGAGAAAAAAAAAAGAAAAAAAAAAAAGGAAACTGAGAGAGGGGAGGAGGAGAAGAGAGAGAATCCTAATTCCCTCTAACTTGGTAATAAAGTAGCAGCTAAATGATAGGCCTGCTACTCCTGTACTGAAAAATCATAGCCTGCAGGTTCATGGATGGACAGCAGCAGGCCTCTGAGAACAAAGTGACATGAATGTTAAGTTCATATACTTTGGATCCTTAATCGATGGAGTCAGAAAATAATTGGCTTCTTGCGTACAAGTCGGACAATAATAATCTCTATGAGATCATTACTCATTACTTGTAAGGGAGCATTACTTTTTGCATTCCACACGGTTTTACGCATGTTCAAGTACTTTTTTTTTGTAAATTGGATGAGTGACTCCTTACATGTAAAAATGAATGATTCTTTACGTTTAAGAAGCTAAACTGTGTTTCATTAGTAGCATGTTTTTTACGTACTTAAAAATGGGAAGCAATGAATTAGGGCCAAGAAAGAAGGAAGGGTAAGGAAATCAATTAGTCCCTCCAGTTGATCTGATTCCTAAAATTCTACGTAGTGCATTGCAGATGGTAGTCAATAATCGAAATTATTTTAATTTCTGTTTTCTATAAGTAAACATGACATGTGTCTACCTCCCTCGTGAGCTCGTACGTAGTAGCCTTGTGCATAAACTTACATACACAAAATTCTAGCCAACAAGCACTACCTACAAATGAAAGCTAACATTAGCTGCAAGATTTTGCTCCAAAATCCAACAGTTTTCTCCAAAGACTTGGACCTTGCCTTTAGCTGAGGTTTTTAAAGTGGAAATCTTTTCAAGATATTGATCACGATTGCCTTTTGTCCTTGTGTTGATTCACATGAACATATAAAACATGATCTGTTAGCAGATTCGACTGGCCACCATCCTCCAAAAAATTTTGGCTTGGATCAATAGGTCTGCTACCTCCAATATTTATGGCAATTGTTGGCTTCCACGGTAGAAAAACTTTGGTGCAATTAGAGATATATTTCTGATTCCTCATCACTCTATATCACTTATTATGTATGTACTTATGACAATTCACATGATGAGTGATTTAGAAAATGACTAACAAATCTAAATTCTTGATTACATATATTGGGGGTTGGGGGTGCTTGTATAGACAAACTTCAAGGTATACCATCTTTAATTTTATTCTTTTCAGTACACATTTTCTTCTCTTACACAGATATTGTACTATGCAAACCGATATCATATTTTTTTTTTTATAATTCTCATCACTTGATTACATTCAAGAGTTGGCCTTCTACCGGACCTATATATCGATTGATGTTGTGGAACAGTGGATGTTCACTCAAAGAATAAAATAATGGGCCCTTCCACTGTTTGCCGAAGCTTGCCTCATACGACTCCTATTTTCTATAAAATACAAAGTCCACACAACATCAAAACAATAAGTTCACGAAGAGGAAGAGAGAAAAGAGAGGAAGAGGAAAGGAGATAACAAAGAGAATTATTTTGTACTCCTATTATTCTAAATTATAATGAAAGCACCACTACTGCTGCACACACCGTCGATTTTACAACACGTTATCAGCACGAGAAGCTCTCATGTCAGTGGAAAGTACAACGCCATAAATTCGGTGAAGCACTATTTACCTCTCACCTCTGTCAGCTAAAATCTCACAGAATAAAAGGTATGTCCATTTTCCGTCTCTCCAACCGCGCTAGAAGCACCCCACCAAATTCGGTGAGAATTGAAATTTACAACGAACTGCAGTCGTCACGAGATGAGAAAACTCATACTTGACAACTGGTTTCCAGAGATCCAGAAGAATCTCATCAAACTTAGAAACCCAGATCACGCTGTTTTTAACGGATGTCGAGGACTCCCATGAATCCTCAGTTGTCTGAGATGGTGATGGCAGGACTGACTCCACACATGCCTCCCTCTCTTGTGCCTCTATCAACCTTGCTGTCATCTATGTCTTTGTATGGAGGTTCTTGCTTCGCGATACCATGTTCCCTGGGTCATGCAAGAACAACGCAAGTCTCCGGTAGTCTTTTAGATTGAATTGAATTTGGGCAACCTCTACAACAACCCAACTGGCCCTACGTTTCAAGACTGACAGAAAAGGAAGAAAAATAATAGAAAAGGGGATTGATGGAATGGTAAGACACATGTGAAAAAAAAATTTGGAAATGTGTGGTGTTGACTGCACCCTAAGAAAAAAAATAATAATAAAATATAAAGGGATTTGAATGGTCCATGGCACCATTTGGTCAAAATAATAAATAAACAAAAAAAATACAAATATAAAGGTTTCTGTTGGTGCATGGCATCATGTTGCAGAAATAAGAAAAGTAATAATAAAAAGGTTTGAATAAGTGCTAACAAAAGAAAGAAAAATAATAAATAAAAGAAGGTATGATACTTCTTGTTATTTATGTGAATTGGTGTTAGTTTAAAACCCTTTCACAAATTCTATTTACTTTAAAGCAATTTATTTATCATGGACAGTATTACCGCCTACTGCTTTAAGTTTTGATTTATGTGAATGGTAATGAATTAAAGCCCTTGTCACAAATTTTATTTATTTATATGCAATTTATTCACTATGGCTGGAATTATCGCCTATTGCTTTAATTTATTTTACTTATCTTTTGTTACGATGAGTATAACAAGGACCCGAAGTTCCCTGATCAGATCAAAACCTGCAGTTTCTTGATCCTCATCATATAAAAATGATTGGACCCGAAGTTCCATCATACAAAAAGATTGGACATGAAGTCCCTTGATCCTCAGATCAGGTAATGAAGTTCCTTAATGAGTACAATAAGTTTGAAGTGCCGCAGTGCCTCAATTTAACTGTAATAAAGGCCAAAAAAGTCTCAATCCACACCAAAAGTTCCTTATATCCATATTCAAAATGATTTAGCAAAAACATTTATTAAGTGAATGAAATTGACAGTTCTTACATGAGTACATGCTATTTTGCATGATTCAGTATTAGTTCGGTTGAGACCTATTGCCAACCATCAATACTTCTCAGTACAACTCGTGTTTGGGCACCAGCCAAACATTATACATTTACGAGTTTTTGGTTGTGTTATCTATGTGCCTATTGCACTACCACAACGTACTAAAATGAGGCATCATCGCGGATTAGGCATTGATGTTGAACACCATCTATCATTCAATATTTAAAACCCTTGACTGGGGATATATTTACCGCGTGGTTTGCGGACTATCATTACAATTTTCTCACCGTTAGGGGGAGAAAATGACATCATTCCAGAAGAACGATGAGAAAATATCATTCTAGAAGAATGATGAGAAAAGACCGTTCTAGAAGAACGAAGAGAATTTGTCTTATTTTGATTCACGAAACAATCAATGAGAAAAATGAAATGAGAATGATTAATGATGCAATGAAAGTGATGAAATCACATTTACTTGCTGCAAATGTGCCTATAAGAATTGATGTTCTTGTTGAAAATAATAATACTGCAGTAAATGATTTATCTGTTACATTCCTGAAGCGTGACAGACCCTTAGACTCAAAAGGTTCAGTCATTTAAAAGAAGAAGAATATGATACTACTGAACTATTACATTCTCGTAGCATAACTGTTACATGCCGAAAGCATGACAGTTGCCGTATGGATACACATCCCAAAAAGGACAATCCGCAGACATGGGAATGTTGATGTCTCATGCATGAAGCATGATAGACGTATAGGTTCCAATGATTCAACTCCCAAAATAGAGATTAAAATTCAAGCTCTATAACGCTTAAGAGGAAGTTATGATCTGCATTCTCTAAATTATGACTATCCTAGAAGAGATAGTGTAATGCCCTTGAAGAGGTAATAGATATCCAAAGAAATGAAAAGCTTTTATGCATGCGCATGCAAATGAGAATATGGGATCACATATTGATGACAACCAATGGTAGTGTTGGTTTTTACAAGTAGCTACTAAATTCATTAATGAGTTGTGTTGATATTGAGTCTTGTTCTTTTTCCGTCAACAAAATTATTGGCCAAAATGGAGAAAGGCAATTCCATTACAATTTTGTAAGAACGTGGAAAAATAGACATATACACTTGAATACAATACAAATAGTCAAAAGATGTTAAACCTAGAAGGTTACATATGGGTATTTGTAATACCATGAAATACACTCACATGATATAACACAAGGTTGTAAAGGAGTTCATATGAATGAAGAATTATATACGAAGGGTTGTACGTCGCCCACATCATATCTCCATAAGTAAATCCCTGAAGAATACATAGGAGCAAATTGCTCTGTATAAATTTCAAAGGAAAATGTGTTATAAAGTGTAGAAAATCCCTGAAGAATTCAAATTGCTTGAAGAAAGCCCTGAAAAAGTAAAACATAAATTATGTACTCAATATCAATGGATGATATAAATTGCTTTAGTGAGTACTATCACTATGATATTGTTGCAACATACTAAAATCTCTTTCAAGAGTCAATGACAGTAAATTGGAACTCCTAAAGAGTTTAGAAAAATTATAAAGTGTTGAGAGAAATATTATCTCGAACTACAGATCGAACAATCTATTAACACGAATTTTATCCATGATGTTTATGATATTAAAGAATCATATGGATTGAAGATTATGAGTTGAATACTCAAATGATTTAGACACTAAGAATGATCATTTATCTTTGCGAGGGTAAAGATAAATTGATATTTGGTCCAGAAGTACAACATCTTAGTGAAGTATATGCTTTATTGTATTTAGCACAATACATTGAATGAAATAAAGTTTATCTATTGATATCTCAGAGAAATTACAAACATGTACATACACATGAGTTAAAACAAACAAGATAGAGCCTTCACAAAGATTGCTCATGTGATACCTCAGTATTCGAAAGTACCCCAGAAAGAGGAGGCATCGGAGGTTGATTATTTGGAACCTCTATACTTGGTAAAACTCTAGATTACGAAGACAATATGTGCCATTGGAACAAAGCCTTGAACCTCTGATTGTCACTTTGAGTCCGACTTTCGGATTTTGGCAGCTGGTCAAGCTTTTTTTTCATGCTCGTTGAGTAATTATTTGTAAGCATGTGTAACACTCTATTCTTGTGCTTAAGCTCTCTGATCTCTTGTTTAAGACTTGCCACCTCAGCTATCAATGATTCAACTTGGCGAGTTCGAACAATAGGCATTGGCCTATATTGGAAATAGAGGCAACACACTAAATGCTGAAAGGCAAGGAGTCTTGAACGACTGACTCATCAAACAGTTTTGAAATGATTCTGTTATCCTTTGGAGTGAGAAGATTCCTAGCTACCAATATAACGGTTATGTTATTCTTCATCACAGAGTCCCCAACCGTAAGAGGACCATTAGAAGATAAAAAGGACGTGCACCATATATTATCATGACGCTGCTCGTCTGTATCACTCCTAAGACTCAAATCTAAGCAAATATTAGATGGGCAAGCCATTTTCAGAAATGATGAAGGAAAAATAAGGTCAGATAAAATCTCAAAAGTGCAAGAAAGGGAAATTTCTACATCCTGCAGTTTTCCGAGCATACATTTTGAGCACAATTGATGACTCTATAAAAAGAAGAGGCAACATAGCCACTTGTTTGGAGATTGAAAAGCATCATTCTCAGAATTTCAAAAACCGGATTTCCTGGATCAAAGTTCATTAACATTTCTTAGACGCAATCTCAACTTTTTAGATATCACGTGCAACTTTGTCAAAGATTTTTGACAAAGTTGAAAATGCGTAAATCTTACTGTTCTAATTACACCACAGTTGCTAACAAAAGTAAAGGCACAGTACCACTACTTGTTATTGAGAAATCTCTATATATGTCGACCTCCGTTCTCCATAACAAGGCAGACCTGTAAGAATACCTAACTTTTCCTCATCTTCGAGAATGCATCTTCAACAAAGCATCTCGAAATACTCCGTTTTCTTCCTCTCCGAGAATACCTCATCAAACAAGTCACACCATAGCAACACCATAGCAAGCGTAGCTCATATCATCAGGGGGAGCATCCAAAAACAGATCAAGATTTTAACGAGTCAATCAAAGACTTGTGGCCATCTAGGAGAAATGTTGTAGAACAGTGGATGTCCACTTGAAGAATAAAATAATGGGTCATTCTACTATTTGCCGAAGCTTGCCTTATACGACTCCTATTTTCTATAAAATACAAACTCCACAACATCAAAGCAATAAGTTCACGAAGAGGAAGAGAGAAAAGAGAGGAAGAGGAGACGAGATAACAGAGAGTTATTTTGTACTTCAATTATTCTAAATTATAATGAAAGCACCACTGCTGCTCTGTAGACGTATTTCAGTCACACTAACTGTAGAAGAACCTTGTAAATTTTATATCTTATTTTATTTATTCCACTGTACACACCGTTGATTTTACAACAATTGACTAATTCTTTTTCCAACTCTTAGACGGAACTCAAAGCTGAAACTGATAAAAAATATAAATTAATATAAATTAAAAAAAAAAAAGAGAAAAAAGTTGACTTCATAGCTTTTCTTTTTCCTTACTTCTACCTTCCGTGGAGATAAGAACAAGATAAGTGCAGATTTGCAATTGCATCATCCAGCAATCAAAAAATTTGCCAATCTAGGCCAAGCTGTCAACAGAAACTTTGCCTCTGACAATCTTGTCCTTCATCATTGTCCAATAAAATACCACTGCCAATGCACACGTGGTACCACCCTCTCACATTATCAGATCACAGATCAATTGCCCTTCAAGTTGTAGATTTTGGCTGCCTTAAAATAACCAATCCCAGTCTTCCATTTTCCACACCATCCTGCATTGTACAAGCAACTGACCTAGCCACAAGTTTTCAGCATAGCACAAGTGGGTAACTGCCACGTGGCGTGATGGTATGGGTTTCTGTAGAAATATGTAGCTCTGTGTCACTAGCCAATCCTTGCTCTCACTGACAACAAGCCATGTCTTAACTCTAACTGCTGTAAAAATCTCATTAATTTGGTCGGATTCCCAGTTTCTTGTCGCCCTCCAAGCTCACCTCACAACCACAAAGAGAGGGGGAGAGAGAAAAAGAAGTGCTTTTAACAACAGCAGTTTAGAGCTTACTGTAAGCCTTCAGTTTCCAGTTCAGGAGGCGTGCTTTTGATCAGGGGTGCTTTTCTATTCAGTTTTCTGCTTTGGGTTTTCTTTTATTTCTCATTTCCCTTCTGGGTTTCTATTGCTCTATGCAATAAAAGAATTCCTTTTTGCTTTTTGGGTTTCTACTTTTGTGGAAAAGCAGAAAAATTTTCATGTCATAATCTTCTTTATTCTTTCTTATCTTATTTTTCTTAATAATATTTTCCTTTAAGTGGTGAACGATGTCTCTATTTCCAACTGCAACTTTCCTGTTGAAATTTCTCCATCTTTTGCGTGTTTTTATGGTAGGGATTATTATATTCTAAATTTTTAATGATTTTTTATGTTAATCAATACTTTAATGATGAAGAGTTCTGAATTTTTTAATCCACAAACTTTATGTGGTCTGGTAAACAGGATATTAAATTTTGTAGTTATATATTTGGGGTTCTTAGGATTGGTTCCATTTTTAGCATGCAGCATTTTTTAAAGTTTTTGAGATATCACAACTTCGAATTATAGTAGTATTAATCATTTGCAATCATCTCTAAATCTGTCTTCTTTCTTTGTTTTGCAGCAATTTCTGTCTGCTCAGAGACATGAATTCTTGCATTCCCGAGTGGAACTTTGAGTCTGATCTCCCCTTGACCAACCAGAAGAAATCAATAGGGTCTGTATTCTCTTTACTTATTCTCAAAGTTTTCGCCTTCCATGTTGAGCTATCTTGATAGGGGGGAAATATTTTACAGGCCAGACCATGAACTTGTAGAGCTCTTGTGGAGAAATGGGCAAGTAGTTTTGAACAGCCAAACGCATCGAAAACCAAGTTTTAATCCGAATGATCAATCGAGACAAGTTCAGAAACATGATCAGCAATCAATAAGGTCTGAGGGGTTGTATGGGAATTCAAGTAATCCGATTCAAGATGACGACACCGTTTCACTTATCCACTATCCGCTTGAGGATTCTTTCGACAAAGAGTTTTGTTCCCATTTTTTCTCTGAATTCCCTTCCTGTGATCCAATTGAGCTTGACAAACCAATCAAACAGTTTGAGGGAGAGAAGGTTGTGAAGTTTGATGCTTCTGACACAGCGCGTCTTGTTTCCAACTCACCGCGGCCTAACGGCAATTCCTCTGCTGGTGTGGAATACGCTGCAAATCCAATGCCTCCTCCAAGATATCAATACATTAATTCAACTGATCAGCAGAACCAAAATCAAGGAGGCGTGGGGAAAATAGTTAATTTTTCACAATTTGCAACCCCGGGAAGGGTTTCAGCGGGATCTTCTAGAGGACAGTTAGGAGGGAAAGAGTCCGGAAATTTAGCTCAAGCGGAGGTTAGGGAGTGTTCTGTGATGACAGTTGGTTCGAGTTACGTTGGTAGCAACCAAGTTCTAAATGACCTTGATGTGAGCAGGGCTTCAAGCAATTGTGATGGAACTACTGGTTTATCGGCTGGACATTTCTACGACAACGTTCATAAGATAATGCCTCAGAGCGAGACAGGGAAAACGGATACACTTGATCCAACGCTTACTTCGTCTTCTGGCGGTTCTGGTAGTAGTTTTGGCAGAGGAGGAAACCAGTCTAATGTTGTCAATAGCAACAAGAGAAAGGGTAGAGAGGCAGCGGACTCGGAGTGCCAAAGTGAGGTAAAAATTTAATTGAAACCCTCTTTCCAACACATGACTTGTAATAATGATTTTCGCCGCGATTAATAGGATTTTACTTATGTTTTAGGCTGCTGAACTTGAATCAGCTTCAGCTGCGAGAAGTAAGTCAGCGCATCGATCAGGATCGACCAGGAGGAGTCGTGCTGCTGAAGTCCATAACCTCTCAGAAAGGGTAGAATTTTTTAAGTTTCCTAGCATTACAAAGTTTCGGAATTTGTCACTTTTTGTTTCTTTCTAATAACTTGTCCATTTGTGCAGAAACGGAGAGATCGGATTAACGAGAAAATGAAAGCATTGCAAGAGCTTATACCTCATTCTAACAAGGTGAATTTACTTTCTTACAACCCCTTTAATTGTTTCTTAATTATTATCTAATTATAAATATCTCTTACTGATTTGATCCTTAATTTTTCAGACAGATAAAGCATCAATGTTAGATGAGGCAATTGAGTACTTGAAGTCACTTCAGATGCAACTGCAGGTACAACATCCCTTCATAAAACCGAAATTGGTCCTATATTGTTTGTACGTAGCTCAAGCTACTAATAACTTTTCTGGTTGATTCAGGTAATGTGGATGGGAAGCGGGATGGCACCAATGATGTTTCCGGGCGTGCAGCACTATATTTCCCGAATGGGAATGGGAATGGGAATGGGAATGGGACCGCCGGCCTTGCCTTCTATGCAAAATCCGATGCATTTACCTAGGCACCCGCTCGTTGATCAGTGCATGAATGTGGCTCCAGCAGCAAACCAGACTGTAATGTGCCAACCACCGGTCTTGAATCCCATTGATTACCACAACCAGATGCAAAATCCCTCTTTTCAGGAACAATACGCGCGTCTCATGAACTTCCATCACATGCAGACTATGTCTCAGGTTTGTTTTCTTAGTCTTGGAGTAAATTATTAGTCATCGGTGTCTTGTTAGACACAAAAATTTATTATCGTTAATTATCTAACTCAAACGATTTTCATTTCTATCATATCGAAATTTTTGGGTAGCCAATGAATATGTTCAGATTTGGCTCCCAACCTCTACAGCAGAATAAGATGATGGCACCAAATGGTTTCAGCAGTGGACCTTTCGGTGGAGGAGCTGCAACTAATGACCCTTTAAGTGGAAAAATGAGTAAGTCACTTGAAAGCACTTAACGTATAATCACTTTTTATACAAGAAGCATGCATAACTTTTTTTCAAACTTAAGGGAATAATTTGTTTAAGTAAGTTCTGTGAACCCTAGCAAGTGGCTGTCAAAATCAGGGGCTATGTGGTGAATTCGGTTGAATTTTTTGTGTTCATTTACCACCTTATCTTCATTGCCATCTCTCAAGAGAGTGAATGGTCACAAACTTTTTACTACTCTCTAAAGGGGTTGGCCGCATATATTCTTGTTGCGCAGTATAGCAGCTCATATCTGTTGAAGAATGTAAGAATCTCATGTCGGAGACTTGATAAAATAAATTTCAATATATAATTAATGGTTTCACACTAACTGTACTGAGACTTTAAAAAAAAAAAAAAAAAACTTTACACACCCAGGCGATGTTTTCTATTTGCATTCCCGTCAGCTAAACAATCGGACCAGACAGATGCAGGCCGCTTGACGGCCTTACCCGTCATTGAAACACAAGTTGGAGATGTATCGGCCTATATTCCAACCAATGTGATCTCCATTACCGATGGACAAATCTGTTCAGAAGCACATGGGCGCGTCTCACTGAATTGAATTCTTCTTCTAGCTCTTCTGTTTTACTGATAATATGTTCAAAGTAGTTTGGTTGGTTGAATCATTGATGCCATAAGTGTCACTGTCATACTAATTTCAGTGGACACACTGCTCTTTTCTGATGTTAACAGGTTAATGAGAGAGGATGCATACTTATCTCATCTCTATATATGGTCCCCCGGCCCTAGCTGGCTTATAAAACAAGATCATATAATTGGTGGCAGAAGTTGTTGAATTATATTGGAACATTTTTTGCTCACGCGGATCGCATGATCTTACCATTTAGATAATTCGAAGAGTCACTTCTCGTATGCGTATGCCAATGAACAACTACTGCAAGAGTTCAAACATCTCAATCCGGCATTGAACTGGTTCCGAAACCTTACAAGCGGACACAAGACTAGTTGTGTAGCTTTCTGAGTTGAGTTTTTTACTCTGGGAAGAAAGGAAGATGGTAGTTCATGCCCCATAAAAATGTATAAACACGGGCATATTATTGCTGCTCATTGATGTTCCTCTTGTAAAAGGATGCCTGAAATTTTAATGGAAACTGATATATGTTTCTTCAAGTGTTTTCTTTGTTTGCGCCGTTATGCTTATGCTTTGCCTGTGAGGAGCTTGTCTGTCACTGCAGATATATGGAGAAACTGGAAAACTCAAATGAATAAACAAATAAAGTTGAACGATCACATAAGCTTTTCTTTTTTCTTACCTTTAAATTTTGTTTTTTGGTAAATTCAATGTTGTACTTACAGTTCGAACACATGATAATAATGGTATGTTTCAAGAGACTTGTTGCTCAATTCATAAAGAGCATTCAACATTTGCACTGCGAAATCCTGAGTTCGATTCTCTCTTGTGAAATTATTGTATGTCGTTTTCAAAGTTGAGCATCAATAACCTATCTCAAGCTTTATATATCTTGGTCTCTTAGTCAATTACAGCGGTCTTGGAATCAAAATACAACCAAAGCCAACTTGTGATACCCTTTAATTATTTGACTCAACTATGACACAATTAACGTTTAGACTTTGTAATTCAATTTATGATCAAAGTGATTATTTTAACCTTCATAGTTGGAAGATTTACCAAAGTGCCATTCTGATTTTAAGTTAAGGTTTCTGGATACTCATGTGGAACCAAAATTTATAATAGAAAAATAAAATAAATAAAAACCAAATGAAAGGAGAGAGCTAGATGATCTAGAAAGGAGGGTAAAAAGCTGGAGAAAAAAAAATACAAAAAATAGAGAAAAGGAAGGAAAGCTGGAGAATTCGGGGTCCTATTTTCCTCTTGGGGGTGCTATTCCATCCTTCTTGGGGGTTAACCCTCTCTCTCATCTTTAGCTTTCTTTCCTTGGAGCCTTTGATTCTGGCCTCCGAAGCACCAAAGAACTGCCCTGGTGCGGTCGGATGAGGGTGCTCTACAGAGCTAGATTTAAGTTAATTGTAATTAGTGGAGACGTAATTTAGAGATTGAGGATACATTGAAGCAACCAAGGTAAATTCTCGAATCTTTGTGGCTGCTGGAGCTCTAATTCATGTTGCATGTTGGTTGAGTTGTCACCATAACGTATACTTTTATTTAGTTGGAACCTTAAGACAGATATTTGAGCAGATTGAGATATACTACTTAATAAGATGTATTCATGCAAAAAGTAATTTAATTGAAATTGTGATGGTACAATTTAAAGCTATGGTTGGATGTTGATGAAGTCAATAACAGATCAGGGATTAAGAAAATAATAAATAATTGGTGAAATCCAAATAGTTTGATCCCTACGTAAACAATTTAACCTAAAAGTTAAATACAACCATAAAATAAAAAGAATTTAATTAGTAATATGCATTTCAATTCATAATTATTGTGATACAACTACTTTCGGCTGATATTGGCTACCTTTTTATCTATAAACTTCCATGTTACATAGTCATCAAACTCCAGGATCATGCACATGGCTTGCACGACTTATCCATTTAGTGCATTATTTGACTTGGGATCCAAGTTAATTGCCTTTTATGTTTGAGATATTTGAATTGGACACTTGTCATAGGGACAATTATACAACTTTGTGCTTCTGCATTTTTAGCATTTTGAATTCAAGTCAACAGCCACCACAAAGTTATTGTCTCCTTAGTGGAATGGCCAGAAATGCGGTTGCATAACGCCTACACCTAGGCCCTAATTGAGGCTGGTCACTGCCTAATGTCTATAAGTTATCTAGGTCTATAAGTTATCTAGGTCGATTTTTCGAACATTATCACAAAGTAGCATATATTTGGTACTTTGAGAAAATATGTTAAGTGTAGTTGCCTACTTAAATGGACAACAATCGTCGTATTATTTATGCGATATTGGCCTCACATGCATTGATGGCCGATTAACTTACGCTTTGGTACATCTTATATATGGTGGGTCCACTTTGGCTCATGCAATGCCATCAATCACTTGCACTCATCAGCAACGGGAAACTACGGACATCTGCAGCGTAAACGCCTATTAGGATTTAAGGATTAGGGTTCTGGTACTTAGACTAACTAGTGCGGTTCTAGTTAGAAGTACAATATTATATAACAATGACTTACATGTGGACGTGCATAATTGACATTTGCCTCCCATCATCATTATAATCTATAAAATAATTGATCAAAAATCCATTCCCCTTTCCAGCAAGAAAGGATTTCTGCTTTCTCCGACATGCATGGGATAATAGCATTATATTCCACCAAGTGGGTGCGGTTCATTGTCATCTTTTCAAGTTCCTGAAAAGCTCACTTGGAAGAAAATGAAAATGAGAAGTTGAGAACTAACGTACACTAATCAGAGAGTAGAATGAAATGTAAACCTAAACGTAGTACACTTACTAATCGCATCTTGCATAAATAGAAAATTTGTGTGAAAGTCGCTTATATGAGCCAGTTTTATTTCCATCAAAGTTAGATATAATCGTCAATATGATCAACAAACGTAGTACGTGTAAATGTTAACTGTTATGATTTAGTTTTTTTTTAGTATGCAACCGTATACTATATGACGTCATCTATGATTAGTTGATTCTTGACTACACATCTCATACATCATATTCATGTCATATTCTGAAGTTTAGTACAACCTTTTCAAATTTTGTTCTCACTTCCCCCAACTTGTACCCTATTTTATGTCTTTTGTCCATTGATGTAATTCACATGCAAATATGAAATAGCAAGGCCTCACCACCACCACCACAACCACTGTCATCATCCCATGACTCCTATTGCCTCCCAATTGTTACATTGTACCGATGGGGCCTCCACCAGAAGATCTGGCCATATAAACAGATAACCACAAGAGCTGATACAGGAACCATTTGAAGCTAGTGGCAAAGGTCAGCTTCTCTTATTTACTAATATCTCTCTCAGTCGTCCCCACTGCATATCTTTTTCTTGATGTTGGAAAGGTGGACGAAGACTGATCGGCATCACTGATTGGTCCCATTTCTAGCAAAACTTGCCCGGCCAACTTTCACGAACATTTTTTTCCCCAACTTGTCTTATCCAAGTTGGATCGACATAAAATTAATATCCAGTAGTCATGTGCATGGCATTAATCATCACCATCGTTATACCCCACTTCATAGATTTTAACAACCATGTTTAAATCGTCATGAATCAATTTGATTTCCCTATCAATCATTGGTGTTCTTTACCATGACAAAATGAAGTTTTTTGTTTGTTACTTAAGATTACTATTTCAATTTGAATAGTTATATGTGTAGACATATATATTTGTACCTAAGATCAATTAATAATTATATAATCACAAAAATTAATGTCATGGAATCCACTACCCTAATAGTATGTCGGTAAGTTTTGTTTATAATGTAGAATAACTGACTGGAAGAATTGAAGAGAAGCTCATGAGACGTAAGCTTGGAAACAACAAAATCCAACATTTGCAAAATTGGGCTCCGAGCTCTAACTTGGGCACCATAATACAATAGAACGGGAAGAAGAGTCAAACAAATTGAGACTTTTTTTTAGTGCACATTAGAAGTACACATTTAAGTTATACGTCTAAATAAAGGCCGTTAAATCATTTAACCTTAGAGAATCTATTGACTGTTGTTCAAATGTATAACTTTAATGTGCACTAGAAAAAATTCATTAAGTTACCTGACTTGCATTTGCAAACAAAATGTTTTTGTGTAGTTTTAAAAATAGCAAATCCCACATTGGGCCTGCATAAGAAGGTGCTCAACTAGCACATTAACTGCTGGCACAATAACATTGTGTTAATGGTGGAGTCTCTTCAGATTTCCTTCAAAACTGCAGCCTTAATTTGGTTACATGCTCTTATTTATTTATTTTTTAAGCAAGATTAAATGGTTTCCTTAATCATAGCATTAGAGGTTAAGGGTCTTTTTTTCTCCAAAAAAAAAGTAGTTAAGGCCTGTTTGGTATCCTACTAAAAAAATTCATCCTTTTTAAAAATATTTCTTAAGACCATTTTTAAGAACAATTTTCAATAAGACTCAAAACTTATTTGGTATAAAATTCAAAATTATTTTTATGTTCACATTTTTTTTAAAGAAAAAAAAATGCACCCATCAATTCATTGGTGGCACTGACGGAAGTAAGAAAGAGAGGATCTGGCTTGAGAGTAGAAAGAGGACAGAGAGGATGTGGTGTTAGAGTAGAGAGAGATGAAAGAGAAGAGATTGGGACAGAGGAGGAAGAGAGAGAGAGAGAGAGAGAGGACAGTGTTGAGTTTGAAAACTCTGAAAAACTAACTTTTTCTGTTTTTAATATAGGCTGTTTTTCAAATTGGTTTTGAGTTCAATTTCTAAAAATAGTTTTACCAAACAAATATTCTTAGCTTGAAACTGAAAAACTGTTTTTAAGTTAAAAAACTGAATACAAATTGAATACCAAACATGCCTTCAGTTTCTTTGGTTCTTTGCTTTCGTTGATGGAAATTTGGTGATGTTACCTTGGAAATCAATGTCTCTGGACACATTGTTGGAACGGCTAGCCCAGCCAACTGGGCTGGGCCTAAGTCCACTTCGAATGCCACATTAAAAGCCTAATAGAGACTTGGGAAGCCCATTCATTTTTCCAATGGTGCATGCCAATTATTTTCATGTGCAAGTCACATGACTTAAATTGATGGTAATTTGAATTGAATAGCTTCTATTCTTATAGTAAAGATGAAATCTGCAGTTTTTAATGAGTTTAAGGACTTAGTTTATAGATAAAAATTTTACTCGAAATATAATTAAAGGATCAAATCGACAGTTTACTCTATTTTATCTATCTTAAATTTTTACCATTCAACTTTAGCAAGGAGCTTGTAGCTTGTAATTTTACCAATATGCAGCTTACTCTATTTGAAGATGGCGTTTTACTGTATGGTGAAAACAATCACACCTATGCACTCTGGTGCGCATTCCTCTCCCCTCTAACAACTAATTATTTAATCTATTAACCCTATCAATCTACTGCAATAAGAGGTTAAAAATATCTTCCATGCATCCAAAGTTCAAGATTTGATTTTTCCTCCTCTCAAAATCACTTGTAGAAAAATGTTCTCA